TTCATTCTTTCTTTATTATGAACAATATCAACAAAATGTATTTCGGTCAATATTTTGAAGCATGAATTTTGAATCCAGCTGAAGTCAAGAATGGAAAAAGCGCACTACGAATTCCTGGCTTTGAAATAAATATACTTGATAGTTGACTCACTTGGGCTAAGCGCGACCGCCGGAATCGCCACTAATATATATATATATATATATATATATATATATGGAACGATGTATAGATTATCGTCTAAATTACCCAAAAATGAAAATAACACTGACTAAAGAGTAAATTTATTCAATAACATTGCCATTGGCTTCAACCACGGCCTCTAGACGACTTCGAAATCTGCACGGTCTCCTTGTTTAAGTATGTGAATGCTGCCACAATCCTTGCCTTCATTTCTTCTTTGGCGCTACAAGTAGTTCTTGGGACTGTCGCTCAACTACGCTCCACACATAGTAATCAAGGGAGTTGCGGTCTGGGGAGTTAGCTGGCCAGATGTAAGTCGTGATGTGGTCGCAGAAATTGTCTGACAGCCATGACTGTGTTCTCCTGCTTTGGTGCAGAGTCCTGTTGTCATACATAGGGTCTATCAGCAGCCACCCTCCAGTTCACCACTACCTCCTCAAGGCAATTGATATAAGCTTCCGTGTTGAGTCTGAGGCCTTCACCAACACATTCAGGAGTTCTTTTCTCTTCAGAACAATTAGAGTGAGTTATCGAGCTGACGTGCCTTCGTAATCACCATTAGACTCATCCATCTCTTTACGAATCCCCTTCATTGTCCTCAAATTGACATCCAAATATTCTGAAATGTTTGTATTGGAGCTTCTGGCGCGAATGCCAAGCGGTACAGCATGCCGTTTCCAAATTTCTGGCGGAGTGAATTCCGTCAAAGTTCTCTTTTTATCACAGACGGGGCCCAACTGACCCTACTATTCTGAGCAGTCGACAAAATCAAAAACAAACAATCCGCATTCACGAAATTAAAAATATGAAACGGCGACAATTTACACATCGCACAATATAGTCAGGTCAGTTGGGTATTTCAAGATATTTTGTATAATTTTGATAAATATATTTGTTAAGATGAGAAGTCAGTACTATTTTCATTTCTGCTTAATTCATACACAGTTTATCCATTGTTGGTTTGTAAGTAGACCAATGTGCCAGATACAAATTCAGAATCAGAAGACGTACAGAATCTTGAATATCTGGGAAGTGTTTTAAAAATAAAAATATGGAATTAATTATAGATTTATATATATACTAGCAGCATAGCCCGGCGTTGCCCGTGCTTGAATCAAAAATCGTACGACTCATACAGCAATCGCTATCACTTGACTTAAAATATTTTTGCCCTTCCTTGCCTTTAAAGGAGTGCTCTTTGCCGTACTGATGTTGCTACATGCCTTACTTCTTGCCTATCTCACACTGCGAATTTTTTCTAAGCTCTATACTAAACATTAAATCTGTTACGCAAAAAGAACTAAACAAAATGAACACAAAACGATCAGCTTTAAAAAAGGACTCGTAACTGGAAAAACCGATTGAAAAAAGAATGTTAACAACAAATACTTTTTCACACCCAACCCAGTTCTGCGGAATCAGAATCAACGTTGAGTTTAAGCAAGCGAATGAGCCAATTGGAGTAAAGTGCCATGTAGATTTAAATTTTTCCCACTTGTGACGAATGCAGCTACCGATTTTTTTGCATGCTAGCTTGCTAGTTAACATTCGTGTTTAGTCAGCAGTTGACTCTCACGCTGGCTAATAGAATCTTCCTGCCTATATGTGGCAGCCAGCTATTGGCTCTCACTCTGGCCATTAGAAAATGGGCGCAAACTACATAAAAACTGCCGTAGAAGCATGAAAAAATCGATTATTTCCACTATCGATGAGAGATGGGAAATGCAAAGTCGGTCTTGGCCTTCTCGCTAAGTTGGAGCATGTGCATGTAAATTTTGGTGCAAATCCGTCGAAAATTGCGGCTGTGCATTCGTTACACACACACACACACACATTCTGCCTTTTATAGATAGAGATAAAAAATTGGAGTTTTGATGAACTCATTCCAAGTGATATTGGTAATATTACATGGATGGAAGCGTTCAGTCTATTGCATATGACCCAATATATCAATGTGGCAGTGAATGCTGGACAAATCAACTCGCAGATGAAGCGAAAACTTCATAAGGAACAGCGATGTAGTTATATTGAAGGATGCTGAGAATAGAATGGAAAATGGAAGCGTAAGGTACTCGTGCATAGAATCAGAAAGAGACAGTTGAAAGTTCTAGGATTTATGAGAAAAAGAAGGCTTGGTAAATTTGACACTCATAGGATATATTGGAGTTAAGAATGAAAGAACGGAACGAGTAACCTACCTTATGATATTGTGTAAATTGATATTCAGAAAGTTTCGTGAAAAAATAATATTATTAAAAGCTACAATGGACAAAAAGTCGTGGAGAGTCATGATCACCCACGTCCTGACGGCACACAATACATAAAAGAAGACTTCTATCATTTGCTTTTCATAGCAGTTATTGAGACCGTATGGAACTCAGTGTGATAAGCAATTGAAATAAAGATGAAAGAATATTAGACAAAAATTAATAATGGCTACCAATGTTTATTAGGTACAAAAACATTAAAAATATTTTTTCACTTTTTAAATAACAGCGTAATTCTTTATTTACTGCTAGAAACAAAAACAAACAACCTCAGGATTTCAAAATTGCAGTGATGACTACAAATTCCAAGTTTCCAGTTTCTCACTACTCTTTGTATTACAAACAAAACGCCTGCTGGAATTTTTCTAACTAGATTAACAGCTTACTTTGCCGCGTAACATCTCCCTGAGAACTAGTGCTGGCTTTAGAACAAACCGTAGCGGAAGCGACCTGCTTTATATCTTATGATAAATCCAAGAAAATGCTGTGAACAAAGCCAAGGGCTTTAGATCAACTATGCTCTCATTCCAAAAGCGTTTGATTCCGTAAGCAGATTAGGTCCTTGGAAAATCTTGAAAAAGTTTGTTTTCTTTCAAAAGGTTTCTCTCCGTGGTTATCCACCTCCATGAGGTTGCAGCATAGTTCATATGACAGCATATCCTAAAATACTTTTCCCGATTGAAAACAGCACCAAGCATAGTATTTTTCTACTTACATTATTTTTAATATTATTTAGTACAATGCAGAAACAAGTGTCTGTAGGTACATCTACTATATCTACAAATAGTAACATTTATACTGAACTTAGGGTTCACACTAAGAATATGTTGTAGGTAGTCAGATATCTGTCCATGGATGACGGACCTCCTCCTGCTCATTCAGGCAACGGCTCTTCAGCAGTTAGCAATTTATTTTTCAAGAGCCACAGAAACTTTCGGTTTGGAAATAATTATCAATAGTTATTCTTCATCAAATAGCACCTCAAATGAGCGTTACTTGCCTTCCATCGTCAGGTCAATAGAACTAGAAGCAAGCCAAGATCCATCTTGGTTGAGTTATAATTTTTAATACCAAGTTGCACAAAGATAGCCATTTACTAATATGAAAACCATCTAAACGGTCTAATAAACCATCTTCAGGACATATTCATAAATTATAACATTATCAATACAACATGATCTTATAAAACTTTCAGTTATCTGTTTCAATAAGTCTTGTTCTTATGTACATCGTCTTTGTCATGTTGTATTGATAATGTTATAATTTATAAATATGTCCTGAAGATGGTTTATTAGACCGAAACGTCCGACGTTGACATATTAACATTAAAACAGCATAATTGTATATAAGGATTTTTGTTTGTTTTTTTCCGTATATATTTTTCTTCATACTGTCGGATCTATATATATATATATATGCGTGTGTGTATGTGTGTGTGTTTAGGCAGCATATTTTCATTCAAACAGATTTGTTTAAATAATTTAGACTGTTTGTTTTTGTTTTAATCCTTTCGAGTCCACGAATAAGTTTCTTGGTATCCGTAGAATATTGATTAAGAAAAATACTAAAATTTTCTTTCAAATAATTTTTATTATCCCCAAGTACTTTCAGTCTGATTTGAGTTCATCTTCAGCGGCTTAAATTGTCTGTGTTTTGAATTTACAGAAATACGTATACACGGACATAGGTATCAAGATGTAACGAACGGCGTGTAAGTAGAAAAGACTGTAATGAACAAAAAGAATAAGAACTAGTCATTGTAAGAAGAGCTAAATGTACTGTGGACAGACGAGTCCAAATTTGAACTATTTGGCAGTAAAAGGAGAGTGGGAGAAGAAAGTCACGAGAAAGACTGAATGATGAATGTGTGGTTTCAACAGTGTGGGTGTGTTTTGGAGGCGAGAGCGCTGGAGATTTGATTCAGGTCAAGGAAAGCAGAGAAAAAGAACAATATTATTGGAATTTGCAAAGACATTTCCATTGAAAATGATACAACACAAAAGTAAAAATTTCTTCCTTTTTTTTTTTCAATTCGCATCCTCTGAGGAATTTTAATAAAAGCGAAACATGTTAGATTGATAAACTTTTTCCTATTTGCTCTTTATCCTATAATTCTGTATGTTTCTGAACCATATGTGATCTATATTTGATCCCAATTCATATATACAGAGAGGGAGAGAGGGAGAGAGAGAGAGAGAGAAAGAGAGGCGATAAAGCGGGTTAAAATTAGCACCATTTTATAAATATCAAATGTGAACAACAGTATCGTCTGATTCAATTCAAACGGAGCGTAAGGAACATTTTGAATTTGCGCATAAATTCTTGAGACGTGCGGAATCAGAAATATTCTGTATCTACAAATGGTGATACTTTTTCTGTTGTAATTCAAATGGAAGGAAAACAAACAATAAAACGTATGTACTTTAATTTCCGGTAAAATAATTCCGATAAGGCACCTGTAGTATACTTAAGTTTTCTCAATGTCTTAAATGACAAGATGAATAAAAAATAAATAAAATAAGATAAAAGAAAAACTAGTAAAAAAAATAATACTAAGAAGAAGAAGAAGAAGAAGAAGAAGAAGAAGAAAGATAGAAAAAAAAGAAGACGAAAAAGAAAGATGAAAGAAGATAGAAGAAAAAAGACGAAAAGATAGAAGAAAGAAAGAAGAGGGGAGAAAAAAGAAAGTAAAAGAAGTAAGTAGAAAAAAAAAGAAAATAGAAGAAAAGAAATAACAAAGAAGATAGAGGAAGAAAAAAAGATAGAAGAAAAAGATAGAAGAAGAAAAACAAAGAAGAAAAAGAAGAACAAAGATAAAAGAAAGAATACGAAAAGGTTAGAAGACGAAAGAAGAGGGAAGAAAAAAGAAGAAGAAAAAGAAAGAAAAGGTAAAAGAAGAAAGGAGAAAAAGAAAGTAGAAGAAAAAGAAAGAACAAAGAAGATGAAGATAGAAGAAGAAAGAAGAAAAGACCAAAGAAGAAAGAAGAAAAAAAAACAAAGAATGAAAAGAAGAAAGAAAACGAAGAAAGTAGAGGGAAGAAAAAAGAAAGAAGAAAAAATAATAAGAAGAAAGTAGAAGAAAAAAGAAATAGAAGAAAATAGAGAAGAAAGAATAAAATAGAAGAAAAAGAAAAAAGAAGAAGAAAAACAAACAGGAAAGAAGAAGATAGAAGCAGAATGATGACGAAAAAGAAAGAAGAAAGAAGACAGAATAAAAAAAAGAAAAAAGAAAGAAAAAAAAGAAAGAAGAAAAAAAGAAGACGAAAAAGAAGTCGTAGCTGTGACAGTTTCCCGGTTTTAATATTTTAATTTTCTAAGGAACCACAATTGTTAAGTTAATGATTGAAAATGCTACTTGTGATTTCTCCAGCCATAAAGTAGCCGTGGAAATTCCCCTGTTGCCTCGTAAAATATTTGAGCATTACAACTTTAACACTATTTCAGTAGCAATTATAATTATACATGCAGGTCATTATTTAAACAAGTCAAACGGTACCAATGGAAATTATTTAAATAAATAACTAGGTATTGAGCACTCTATTAAGAATAGTGTTTTTGGTTATCGGAATTTTATTGCATCTGTACCAACACTTTATTTGCGAACCTCAGACAATTTCGTGAAACCTAGGGTTACGAACTCACATCCATACAACTAAGTATGTTTAGCTCTATCACTGATATTGAGCGCTTTCCGATAAGTACCGCACATATATAATATATAAATAATATATATAAAAATCACACACACACACATATATATATATATATATATATATATATATATACGGGGTTGATACAAATGGAAATAAAATTCTGATAACCAAAAACACTTAAGAGTGCTCAATTGTCTGAGGATCGCCAAAGTGTGAAAGGTAGGGTCACAAACTCACATCCATACAAGTATATATATATATATATATATATATATATATATATATATATATATATATATATATATATATATGTGTGTGTGTAAATAGCAGGCCAGACCGGGTTCTACAGCCTTAGATGGCAACTTGTCTATCGTAGAAAGAAATGGCAACCTACTTCGGGAAAAATCTGCCTCATCAGTCATGTGTATCACGCATGGCACATAACTGACTAACTGACAGTTATATATATATATATATATATATATATATATATATATATATATATTATAAATTAATTGATTTAAATTATGTTTTTTTTCCCGCTACACAGTTCTAACTATGTTTCAAACATTTTGAAACATGGTTAGAACTATGTAAAGGAAAAAACATATTTTAAATCAATTAATTTATAATATTAATGGTCTGTAAATTTACATTGAGCATTATTTTGTAAAAATAAAATATCTATAATAACACCGGATTATATATCTTACTGTTCTTTCTTTTTATTTGTGTATATATATATATATATATATATATATATATATATATATATATATATATATATATATATATATAACATAACATATATATGTATATATATAAGTCAGTTATGTGCCATGCATGATACGCATGACTGTATGTCTGTCCGTCTCTCTCTCTCTCTCTCTCTCTCTCTATATATATATATATATATATATATATATATATATATATATATATATATATATATATATACATAACTGACTGTTATATATACATACATATATGTGTCTGTCCGTCTCTCTCTCTCTCTCTATATATATATATATATATATATATATATATATAGAGAGAGAGAGAGAGAGAGACGGACGGACAGACAGACAGATAAAGAGATATGAACTATCAAAAATAAATAGATCTGATACGACTGAGATTGATATATTGACATAAATGCAACCCACGCATACATTAAAATAAAAATTTGACCCGACGCCATTTTTTTCTTATTCTTTCTATTTAGTTTTTTTTTTTTTATTCTTATTTCCTTAGATTTATCCATCTATTTTATTTATTCATCTGACTTTATTCTTTATCTCTCTCTCTTTTTTTGTTAGTCATTCCATCAATTTTATTTTGATTCGCTTCTTTTACCTTCCTTCTCATTTTCTCCCCTCTCCTTTGCATTACTGTGGAATCAAATCGTTGCTGGGAACTCCCTTCCCCCTTTTCACATTCTACAATTCTATAATTCTATTTGGTTTCACAATAAAAATGTTTGGTTTGTAAACACCAGCATGTCAGCTTCGGAACAACTCGGGTATAGACATGACACAATGATGTGGGAATTCATTATCTGCGAAAAATGGAAGAAAAATATTTGAATAACTCTAAGTATGTAAAGAGAAATAAATACCTGAAACGATTCATGTCGAAATTAAGACAGAATACCAGAAATGAAATAGTTAATAGCAGAATTAAAGATAAAATATAATAATTAATAATATGAAAACATAGAACTACACAAATACGGAGAGTGCGTCCAAAAAAAAAAAACTGAGGAATTGTCTAGATGAGTGGTGGCCAAACCGCTGTTCACGATCCTCATGCGACTCTTTGGCCTTTACTATACGGCTCATGGAAATATGTTGGCTGAGCTTCTTTATTTATGACAGTTAATATAAAAAATAAATAATAAAAATTGCAAGCTTTATAATTATTTAGTGGGTATGAATTGAGACCGCATTGGTCATAAGTTTAATGTTAATGTTTATGTAACAGAAACGTATGTGTAATATCTTTTTTCATGTCTCCCGGCTCTCAAACATCTGAACTTTATTGGATCTAATCTTAAGCAAGATTGGCCATCCATGGATTAACTTATTTAATCTAATAGAAATTAATTTTACTCCTAACAAAATTGTGTGCAAACTAACGAATCAGTTATTTGCCTTTAATTAAAATTATCTATAGCAGATCCTACCACTCTTCGGCAATGTGTTCGAAGCTTTAATCAACGCCAAAGTGGTTAAGCACCTTACATCCCATGATCTGCTCTCCGACAAGCGATATGGTTTCCGCTTTGCCCGTTCTACAGCTGATGTGCTTACGGCCATCACTGAAATTGTTTACCAAGATCTTTATAATAACGGAGAAACTCGTGTCGTGGCTCTATATATCTCCAAAGCGTTTGATAGGGTTTGGCATGCCGGCCTTCTTCGCAAGCTTCAGGGTTATGGAATTTCATGTCGATTGTTCGACTTAACAATCATTCCTGTCAAACCGTGTAATGAAGGTCGTTCTCAATGGATTTTCCTCCAGTTCCTATCCCACGAACGCAGGTGTTCCCCAAGGCTCCATCCTGGGCCCTACTCTGTTCCTTATCTTCATCAACGATCTTCCTGGCGTCATAGATTCCCAAGTTGGCATCAACGCGGACGACACTACAATTTACTCCTGCCTCAAAAACAAATCTAGTGTCGGTGACAAAACTAACCTGGCCGTTCGTCTCGAAAAGGACCTCCAATCGATTGTGAACTGTGGCAGGAATTGGCTGGTTAACTTAATGCCTCAAAAACAAAACTGCTCTCTAATAATCATCATAGAGAACCATCCCTGCCCCCCATTCGTCTAATGCTCAACTTCTCGAGAGCACCTCTCTGCTGACCTGAAATAGAACAAATACATTGAGCCAATAGCTTCCTCCACCGCAAGGAAAGTTGGCGCCCTGTGCCACGCCAGGATTTTTTTCTCGCCAGAGTCGCTCCTTCAAATCTACAAATCAACCATTCACCCTTGCATGGAATATTGCTGCCGTATATGGTCTGTCTCAAGGTTCTTGATAAAATCCAAAGACGAATATGCAATGTAATTGGCCCTGATCTGGCATCTCGTCTGCAGTCGCTTTCTCACAGACGTGCCGTTACCTCCCGCTGTTTTTTTACAAATACTTTTATGGTAATTGCTCCGATGAGCTGCTTTCGCTGGTTCCTTCCCAGACTTCATGAATTTAAGCGTTCTACTAGGCTGGCATCTCCTTCTAACCCTTCCACTGTCGAAACTGCTAAATATAGCCGTCTCTTCTACTCCAATAGCTTCATGTCTCGCACTTCTCGCCTGTGGAACCCCCTTCCCTTTTTCCTGTTTCCCTGATAGCTATAATCTCCAACTAGCCAAATGTAATGTCAATCGATGTCTCCAGATGCCCTGATCTATCCCCTATCCTTCTCTTCATACTTTCCTCTATCACTCCTATTTGCTCTCGCTCCAACTTTCTGTAACTCCTTGCGTGCTAGTGGCTTCCCGCCTTGCTTGGGGTGAAACGCTTAAAAAAGTGGTGTATTGCTACCAGTTATTATACACTTAATATACATTATACGATAGGGGACCTCGGCGTGGTGTAATGGTTAGCAACAGTTACGACTGAACAGTGAGTTTGATCCTCACTGCATGCCCCATACTTTCGGCTCTATGCCGCATCTAAGCTATGCTTAGAAAATCAACATACATAATGAAATATTTGCGGTTTTTCAGTTCGGCTTGGAGTCCGTTGATTTCTTTAAACTTCAAATGGACTTGTCGTCTCTCCTTGTCAAATTATACTAACGTTTGTTTAACAAGTCGAATGCACGTGAAACCTGATTAACCAAAAAAGTACAAATAAAAAACCCAGAATGCCTTTCTTCTTTTTCTTCTTATCTAATTCTCTAATGACGTTTTAATAAAAGTGAAACATGTTAGATTTAGAAACGTTTTCTATTTGTTCTTTATCTCATCATTCCGGCGGATTCCGATCCATATTCGATCTGTATTTGATCCAAACTCATATTTCAATAAATAAAGATGTGTTTATGTGTGTATGCCACGGCCCGATAAGTTCAAGAGAAGTGTAAAGAGCAACAACTTGATCTCTCTCAGTGATTCATCGATCTAACCCTAGCCATTTGACACTGCGTATTGGCCAGCGTTTTCGAGTATCCTTCTTAAACTATGGTGTCCTGAAAAGCTCACATTTCAAACAAATCAGAAAGCTTAGCTTTGTGTCAACGCTGAACTATTGAACCCATTTCTGTTATCTGTGGTGTTAAACAAATATATAGTCTTGCTACTCTACTCAATTCGCTATCTTCTTCGCCATTGTAATCAATCAGGCATTTGCACATACAGATGCCGGTATCTTTATGGCTTACTGTACGACGGGAAAGTTGTTTAACATTCGTCGTTTCACTGCCGTGACGAAAATATATATGAATCTCATTCCTGAAGTATTTTACGCTGATGACTATCTCGCTTGTTGGCTATTGTGGGGGCTTCCTTCCTTTGCTCGATTTAGCAGTAGCAGCAACGGAAGTAATAAGCAGGGAACTGCCGGAAGTTCCAGAACTCATAAAAATCGCTGACGGAGCCCTGTTCGGACTCTTTTTCCACTTTACCCTTTCAGCGGTCGCTACCTTCAAGGCCAGCAAGAAAAAACTCACAATCCTTGCTGTATAAGCTCTCCTGGCAGCCTGACATGAGATTTCTCGTTCCTCGTGGGAACAAGAGGAGAAATCTCCCTTCGAGACACCTACTCAAAGGAAAGACTACTCCCAACCCTTGCCGAATAAGACCCATACCAGTCCTAGCCATTTGAAACTTAGATTTCTTGTTCCCTGTGGGAACAAGCGGAGAAATCTCCCTTCGAGACACCTACTCAAAGGAAAGACTACTCCCAACCCTTGCCGAATAAGACCCATACCAGTCCTAGCCGTTTGAAACTTAGATTTCTCGTTCCTCGTGGGAATAAGCGGGGGAAATCTCTACGAAACATCTATTTATTTCGAGCCTTGGATTCTTTCATTCTACTCTATACGCTGAAGAGCACACACCAACAATTACACACATACGCACGATCGCGCGTAACCGGGAAGCTCCTGTGAAACTGCTTCTGTCGCATGTCACTAACCATTAGTCTGTAATCGACCGCTGTCATACCACAAAAAGCGGCGGACAGTCCATATATTCCACCATCGATCTGCGTCAAAATTAAAAGTTAGAAGTAGCTTTGTTTGTCTACTTTGGTAGCACATTATCTAGACATAATACACGTGACCAGTAAGTCAGTTATAGACTTTCTGCAATGTGTTCGGTAAGCTCGTATCGAGACTGTGGTAGTAATCAGGCGTCAAAATAGAAACCAAATTAGAGGTCTACCAAGCATGAGTATTATCAACGATGTTTATATGTATGCAAGACTTGCACAGGCGACCGTTGGCATATTCAACGTCTCGAACAGATCCACCATCGATGATTAACAGTTATATTAAAGATCTCATATATGAACATCTCTTCTCTCCCAGCAATGGATAAATAAGACAGCCTATATTTCGGCAACCAATCTAGGAGAATGAAAACTGACTACAACCAAGACAGGAGAGAGTTGGACTATCTTTCCCAAGACACTGGTATGGCTGAAGTACGTGTGATACTCCTATGATCCCAATGGATTACGGGTTTGCCGTGAAATATGTTCAGTAAATAAGTTTCGTTTATTATCAGATAGAGGAAAGGAGATCGCTATATATGATTGATTGATTGATTTTTTTTACGGTCTGTCAACCTTTTGTGAGTTATTTAAAGCCAAAACATATTTGGGATTGTAAAACAATTCTTTTTCGCATTAACAATTTTTGAGGATAACAATTTTTTCAAGAGATACATACGTCCTATTTAAGCCATGGCTAGGAAAAGAAGATGGATTCCTACCATACTCAAGAGCATTTGCGCGAACTCGGATCTCTGGTTAGTAATCCCTCCAGATCACATACATCATACATTTAAACGTTCAGCGCCTTGTTACATAATGAGAAACGACGGCTTGGAGAATTTGACACTCACAGGGCATATTAAAGGCAAAAAGGACAAAAAGGGGGTAGTGGGAGACCTACACGATGGGAACAGATAACAAGATGAAGGGATGGTAAATAGATAAATATTACTGAGAGCAGCACGGGATAGGAGGTTGCTACATAAAAGAAAACTGTATCACTTTCCATTAATGGCCCTATGCGAATATGCTTATGTTTATTTGAGTAAAATGTATCGCTTTGTCGAATGGTTAGAAAGGTTAGAACGTTATCATTTTGACCATGAAACCTTGGTTCATATCTCCCCAAGTTCGATTTGTCAAAGAGGTGACTTTTCGGAGAGACGATACCCGCAGGCATCACCGTTGGAAAATGCCTAAAAAATATACTATGAGTTGACTCTAGCCTAGTGAATGAAATTGAGTCGACGAAATCGCACAACATCAAAAGTCATCGTGACCGAGAGTTTGAGTATACAGGTCTTGTTCAACGAGTGATAGCACAGGAGTGTATGCTCTCTTCCAAACACAATAACGATGTCCCGCTCAACATAGTTGAAGTACAAAGCTCAGGTTGGTTCTGTAGATGCTGTAGAAACATAAATGTGCCTGGGTTGAAGTATACAACAGGGATTATTAGCTAATGACTCTCGCAAATGGGTATACTGAGAAATGAGCAGTCAGCTATTATAATTGCCTGCTAACGTGTGTTCACAGATATTTGGCCTAGCCTGTTTAAAAGTGTGTATGCCTGTTTCTTCTCGTTACAGTATTTCTGATTTGTTTGATTTTGTTTAGCGGCATATCGACACCTCTATGAGTTATTTAATACCGAAATCTAAATACTTTGAACGGAGTTTTTTTTTTTTTTTTTTTTTTGTTGAGATAATAATGGTTTTAGTAATACAAGTTCTACTAATTAACTGGAGGAGGGAAGACTAGGTGAATTCGTACCTTTCCCAAGGATATTTGCGCGTAAGTAAATATAACGAATTCAACTCGGCTGTCCGATTAACAATTCCGGGCCATCATCTATTACACCCCCCCCGCACATCTATGCTTACAAAATCTGGTATTCACCCATCTCGGTACTGACCATGCTTGATATTGCTTAACTTCGGCGTTTCAACATGATGTAGTCGTGTGCCACTCAAGGTAGCGGCAGTGTATCACTGAATAAAGTGCGTGATATGAACGTAAGAGACGGAAGCAAGTGAAAATTATGAGGATATGGATGATAGATAAAGACGTTAAGATTATAATGATTGGGGAAGTAATTCCACGGGAGTCTGTTTCACAAAGTAGCGATTTTTAAGAAAGGAGCTTTCTGGATGAAACTTACTCCTTACAAATGGAATACAGGTTGAATGGAGATGATTCAATCCTTTAGTTGTAACAAGGTGTTTCTTATCTGTAAAGGTCTGAACTGGTGGCAGTAGAGAATGAAACTTCTAAATATTTTCTACGCAATTTTATGATTTCAGCTACACATATTTTGTACATAATTTTATACTTTCTAAGTAAACTTATGTGTTTTAGATATATATAATTTACAGATGATATATTGTAAGTGTTATATGTTTTAGTATAGACCTATTTCTTTAAGGTAAGACATTATGTTAACGGTTTTAGTATTCTGAAATAGTTTACTCATGTTGATTTCCTTGTAGTTTTTATTATTACCAAAGACAAAATTGTTTTGTTCTTATCAAAGATATTGAAGTGATTTCCTGTTGTTTTAGCCAGGATTTTGGAATTCAGAGTTTCTCTTCTCTTAAATTGGCTGCCATCCAAGGCTAGAAGATCTATTCTACCCGACTATTTCTCAGTGATATTTGTGCAAAAGCGAATGCGACTGCATTGTCTAGAAAAAAATTTAAATCGGCTCGCTAATTACACTTGACGCTATAAGCACGTCTTCAAGAGGTTATCCAGTGTATTAATAGTGTGCCGAGCAATGTTGATACACACCATATTTTAGCACCGCTTTTATAATAATGTTCACCTATTACAAGGCTCAACAGCTACTCAAGGTTGTCGTGTTTAAAAGTTTCTATGTCTGTTTCTTCTCGTTACATAATTTCTGGTTTGGTTGATTTTGATTAGCGGCATATCGACACCTCTATGGGTTATTTAATGCCGAAATCTAAATATTTTCTACGCAATTTTATGATTTCAGCCACACATATTTTGTACATAATTTTATACTTTCTAAGTAAACCTATGTGTTTTAGATATATATATAATTTACAGATGATATATTGTAGGTGTTATATGTTTTAGTATAGACCTATTTCTTTAAGGTAAGACATTATGTTAACGGTTTTAGTATTTTGAAATAGTTTACTCATGTTGATTTCCTTTTAGTTATTATTTTCTACAGGTGATAAGTGAGTACATTCAGTTAAAACGCGTTTCACCGTGAATGTGGCTGGGCATGTTGTAGATGTTTTTTTGATCTTCATTCCTCAATAAGTATGAATAGAGGAGGCACCTGTGGCCTATGTGCAGTCGAGCTTACGTTACATCATCTTTTTTTCCTTTACTAAACATTTATCTCCATTCACCCAAGACGGATTTGACTGTGAGAAGCTTATTATTTAGGTTGTCACTCGAACGCATATACCATTTTTGTGGAATGAAACCGTATATTTGACTTTTGAGGTCCGTATAACGGATCCTGAAACTATTATTATGATTTCATTTTGGCCAAACGAATCCGCTGAATCTGATTACGTATTTTTTTTTAAATTGCATATATAAAATGTTATGCACTGACGACCGGGGTTAAGATTACACTGATGGCATCACCGGTTAAAAGGGGTAAACCTTCTTAAAAGGGGCACCCTCTTTGCCGTACTTATATCTACCTTTTTGATTCTCCTGCAAACCAAATTTATATTTGACTTTTTGATTCTCGTGGAAGCTAAAACCATGTCTACCTTTGTGACAATCGTTCATATTAAACCTGCCATATTTAGTATATTTTCTTATTATTATTATTTTTCTTCTTCTTTTTCTTCTTCTTTTTCTTCTTCTTCTTATTCTTCTTCTTTTACTTCTTCTTTTTCTCCTTTTTCTTTTTCTTCTTCTTCTTTTTCTTCTTCTTTTTCTCCTTCTTCTTCTTCTTCTTCTTCTTATTATTATTATTATTATTATTATTATTATTCTCCTCCTCCTTCCTTTTCTTTTTCTCCTCCATCTTCTTATTATTATTCTTTTTCTTCTTCTTCTTCTTCTTCTTATTATTATTATTATTATTATTCTCCTTCTCCTTCCTTTTCTTTTTCTTCTCCTTCTTCTTCTTATTCTTCTTCTTTTTCTTCTTCTTTTTCTTCTTCTTCTTTTTCTTCTTCTTCTTCCTCTTCTTTTCCTTCTTTTTTTTCTTCTTCTTCTTCTTCTTCTTATTATTATTATTATTCTCCTTCCTTTTCTTTTTCTCCTCTATCTTCTTCTGCTTCTTCTTCTTTTGCTCTTAACATCAGAGGGAGTTTTTGGGGTGCCGACGTGCTGAGCTGTCTACCATTTTCTTCCATCAGCCGCCGTCGTTTGCCAGAGCCTCGGACTTCGCGAATGTGTGTTTTTTTTTTTCTTTGTGCAGATGTGGTGTGTCTTGGGCCTTTCAACCTGGCGGAGCCCATCTGACTTCTTTATATTGCTGCAAACCATATTTTATGTCTACCTTTTTTATTTCCATACAACCCATACGTATGTCTTCCCTTTCGTCTATCGTGCAAACCAAACCTATATCTACTGTTTTTTTATTTCCTTACAACCCATAAATATGTCTATCGTTTTGTCTCTCGTGCAAACAAAACTTACGTCTACTGTTTTTTTGTTTTATTCCCTGATAATCCACAGACTTAAACATAAAGAATACAATCCCTGAATTTTTCTTCGAACAGACGGGAACAGCAAACAAATACATGGAGTAATTATGTACACTGGATTATCTGTCCTAGCCTTTGATGATTTGCAGTATTAAAGAATATGTGTTAGTGTTTCATTTTCTGTTTGTTTGTTTCTATGTACCACAAAACTAAAAAAAAAATCTTCGTATTTCAAATTAATTTCTATATATTCGTTGAATTGTTTACCAATATTATTGATTTATTGAACTTTTTAAGCAAATTGTTATCGAAAATATTTTAATGAGACTCGATAA